AACAAAAAATATGCCTGAGATAACTTTGTTATTAAAACAAGTTAATTATGCTTAAAAAAGAAAGCCTTTTTGCCTTTTTTTAATTTTATCTTAAAGCACAACACCAAGACAACTAGCATGAAAGGTAGACAGTCCTGTCGTCTACCTGATAATACTGCTTGTTTATAAACTCTAATAAACGTTCGACAAAGACAAGGCTACTTAAACAAAAAGTGACTCTTCAAACGTCACTTCTATTTTCGCCAACAACAGTTAATGGAAACAGGAAGACGTCAAGCGTCCCCAGAGCTTTTCCTCTCTCACCTCAAACAGATGGCAAACTATCAAGGTTTCGTCCCGCTTTACAAAGTACCCATCAACGCAAAAAAATTCAGCAAAGAGCTTTTTCACCCAAACCGTCAAAGGTGACTTCTTCCCGTTGCAGTCAGCTTTTCCTAACTGCCACCATCATCACCCTACCTCTTTCCCTTCTGCTTTCACCCGTTTCTCTCCTCCATATTTCACCATATATCAGCAATCTGATAAACAACTTAATAACCTAAAAAACTCTCTTTGCGTCAAAGAATTAAAAAAAATAAAACAGAATAACAAAAAAAAAATCCAATGTAATCAGGAGAAAAATAAGAATGAAAAAAGCAACTAACTAACTAACGACAGCACTGAAAAATGTGCACAGTTGCAAATATTATTATTAATCGACACGAAAAAACAGATAAAAAATTTTTCTTCAGCAATAAATTTTAACTGCAATGAAACAGTTATACCTTCCCAACGATTAAAAATACAATAAAAGAAAAAACAACCTTAATAACTATAATTCTGATTTAGTGAGATGACTAAAGAAAAATACTTTTAAAATGTGGGAAATAAAGATTTGTAAAATATAAGAATTAAACACCCAATGACAATATTCTTAGTAACCGCTTAGCCTATTCAAAAGATACAAATAACCTAAGTTTTTTTTTTCGTCAGTTTCAATAAAAATTTTGAAAAAAAAGATCCTCCATGCATTTCAGGCATGTGCAACAATCAACTTTCGTTCCTATTACTTTCGCCCAATAGCAATTTTTTATTATTTACATAGCCAACTTTCAAAACTGATAATCAACTCTATCTACCTGAATAAGTTATTAATTGTCAAGCAGTAAAGACAATAATCTGAAATTTTACGCAAGTACTTATTACATTTGCCGGTCAATATTTATTATAACTCATAAAAGTTTATCAAGAGTTTACCACTTGAAAAAAATTCATCATTCAGTCCAATTGCTAAATAAATTCACTGAGATTTCAGAGAGTTTCTACGTTATATCCGAAATAGCAACAGTCTGGAAAATGGAAAACTTTGACACACTGTCACTGTTAGAAATGTATAAATGCCCTATAGAAAGTATAACAAGTAAGACTAGTTTTCATCAGGAAGTTAATGGTTTCGTTCAAGAACGAAAAACTCCATTTAGAATTTGCTGTACTGTGTTTGAAATAGAATTTTCCCAAGTGTTATGACGGGTTTCTTTAACGAAAATTGTAGCTTTAATTTTGAAGGTGCTGATGAAATGAATTTCCTGTATAAAAAATTGGCATTTTTGAATGCACAGTACCATCAAAATGTATAGCAACGGTTCAGAAGATTGACCAACGCTAGGATACAGCCTAACTGCATTTATAGCTACCTAAACTCTTATAACAATATTTACTCCTTCATGACAACTCAGCAAAACAGTAGAGGTTTTTTCGTAATAAAATTCAAAACCAAATAACAACTCAAAATACATTTTTGTCAATCGATTTTGAAAAAAAACAAAATTAAAACCTTCCTGCAGATACCAAAAAGTCAATACCTAACTTGCATAAAACTATTTTACAAACACTTTGGCGTGTCTATAAAACGAAGAAAAATAAATAAATAGCAAGTGCAAGAGAATTAAGTGAAAAAGTGTTGGAAGGTTCCGGTGAATATCCGTTTAACCAAAAAATGTGCCGACCGATTAGGTTATCAATTAAAATAAGAAAACTGCCCACTGGGAAGTTTTTTATGCAATCTAAATTTTTCTGTTCACAATTTCAATACAGGTCGCTAACCTATGACGACGCTAACGATAACTAAACATAAAAAGTTTAAAAAATATCATCATATTTAGCTGGATGCTCATTTCTAGTTGTTGAAGTAAAAAGTAAACGTGAAACGGAAAGAATAAGTAAAAACAAGATCAAACATTTCAAGTATCAACGAGGCTGTTACATCAGAATTATTAAACTGTTAAATTCATGCCCCCCCCCCCCCTTGGTTAAACTAATGCTTTATATGCCTATGAATTTTTAGTTCAGCCATTAATTTCAGTCACGAACTCTTTAGTTTTCCAACCCAATTGAGCAAGCATCAAAGGCAGTGCTTATTAAGAAAAATAAAAGTATTTATAATGCTTTTTGCTGTTTACCACCCTCACCGATTCAGGATTACGTTTGAGATAGCAAAGTTGCACAAAATCGACGAATAAAAACGAGGAAAAAAAATAAAGCAAAACTTTCTCGAATGCCCTCACAATAATGGTTCCGAGTTTAGAACTATTAGCGCTTTTGTTTTTTATTTATCACCTTATTGTTGTTGCTATATTCAAAGCTGCAATCGAAAAAAATACGTCATCACTTTGAAACGTTCTTTAAACCTATTTTCCACAAAGAATCCCGTCTTTTACCACAAATATAAAATTAATAATCCGTAAATAAGTAATTCAAAAGAAAAAACTTTCTTTTTTTAATAATAACTGTCACCAACCTATCATATAATAAGATAAGAATTGTTAAAAAAATCAACCTTATCGCCATTTACAACAACAATAACAACAAATATACACCAATGATGATTTATTTTGATATAAAAAGTATTTTATAAATTTAGAGACTTATTATTTTCACTTTTTTTTCCTTTTTCAGAGTTAAAACTGATAAAGAAAACAAATGCAATCAAAAATCTATAAGACAAAAAATTGGTTAAATGTCTAAAATTAATGTTTTTTGTCTTTTTTTTCTTCTTCTTCCTTAATCACTTCTCAATCTTTTAAAAACAACAAAAAAAAAAGTGAATGCTCCAAAAAAAAAAGAACTAAAGAACAGCAACTATTATCACACAACTGAATTTTAGCTTTTTTGAAACAGTTAAAAGACAATTTTTTCAAAACTTCTTCCAGACCATCACTCATTTATTCATTAGAGTCAAACAAAATTAAGCAATGATATCTTTTCTTTTATACAAGTCGTTGTTATTTTTTCGGTACTTTTTCCTCCTCCTCTCATAAAAAGTTCTCTATAATTAGAGCAATTTGAATCACTGGTTTTCAAACAAACAAACAAACAAGCTAGTTAGCTAACAAAAAAAGCATCAAAAATTAATGCAAATACAGATTTGCTCATGCCAGTACAGCAAGCACGCTTGATTGTTCAGTTTTTTTCTTCACATAAAAAAAACTTTTTTTTTCCACATATCTTTTAAGTCTTCTAACCGCTCCAATTATTTTTAATATCAACAGTTTAAAATTATTCCGAGTCTACTGTAATTTTCATCTTTTGACAATAAAGCACTAAAGCATTGTAGCGGCTGTTGTAAAACTGTAAAATGGAAACAAAAAGTAAAACTTATGGTTGTTACTGTTGCCAAGTAAGAAGAATAAAAAACTGAAGTGTAGATAACAAATTGTTGCGCGTGGATTAAGAAGAGAGCAACTACATCTGAGGACTACTCAAGTTATTTATTGGAATTTACTAAGAGAGCGCTGTAGCTACAATTGCTCATTTCTGTTGACATATTCAAATTTACTTTTATTGCAGTATTACATGTATTCTTAAAAGGTTACTTTCTAAAACAGTAGTACTATACGATTCAAACTTAAAAAGCCAAAAAACGTTAAAAAATGACAACTTTCTTGGTTATCAATTGAATCTATAAAAGTAAAAGGAAATGTTGCCCTGATCTCAGCGCTCATACAATTCAACAGTTGTTACCTGCAATAAATACAACAAATGACAAAATCAAAAGAAAAAAATTTACATCAGATTTTGCCAAATTCATTCATTCCGATTTTTTCTCTTTCAATCTAATCATCTTAAACTTCAAAATGTAACTGCATCTTACTGCGATTTATCTTCACATCAGGAACGACGAAAGATATTTTTTTGAGACTAAGCTGCAATAAGCTCTATTGGAAAACAAAAAAAACTTCTTTTCAACTCAAAAAAATAGTCTCTTTGTCAAATTGATCGCCTTTGCCAATATTTGCAAAGCCAGTCCTTGATCACTGCCACACTGTTCGCGTAAAAAGATCCATATTTTGTCAACAACAACACTAGTAATTTAATAGCTCGGATTGCATTAATAATTACCCAACAGTTTAACCTGCATACCAAAAATTAATTATTGCAATCATCTAAGTAAGTAATATCTATCACCATTAACATAGACTTATTGTTCTTTTTTCTCTCAAAATTTCTAATAAATCAACTGCTAGTAACGATGACTAAAAACCCTTCATAAACCACTTTATATCGCTCCAACATATTGAAGAATGTGAAACAACAAAAACTACTTCAAAATTCCCTCCATAACTGAATAGAATATCACTATGCTATACAATAAATTGTTTATGCCAGTTTAAATTTAATCCTTTTTTATACAACACTGAACTGCGCAACTTCTACGACAGTTAATTTTAGGTTACAGCAAAAAACGATCGTTTTATTTCTTTCAAATTTATAAAAACAGTTTTTACTAATTTTGTCTAGGAGATTCAAAACAAAAATGAAAAATTAAAGCTTTTAAATGTCTTTAACAAACACGTCCCGTCGAAACCGGAATACTTAAAATTGAAAAAAATGTATAAAGTCAATTATTTGACACTTAAATGTATTTGCTCAATGTTTTCCCCTCCCTTTGTTTGTTACATTTAAAAAAAAACTATTTCTGCTACATCTATAAGCAAACGAATTACACAGTAATATTTTGCAGATTAATGAATCCGCTTCCTAAAACATTCCAAATGAGGTATATTTTAATAAGACCTTTTCAGTTTACAATCAGTATTGTTAACAAAGCAAAACATGATACCCAATTTGAAATACTTACTGCGAAATCCCCGGTGGAAGCGATGCAACAAATGGATTGTTAATAGAACGAGCAGCAGCGCACGACGTGGCGTAAGCGGTGACAGCGTTTGATGCAATGCACCGAGATATACGTTCGTTGGTATACTGCGGACCACTTGCCATCTGCAGAATGCTTTGCCATTAACTTATAAGTCCAAATTTAAAATAACATTTTAGAGGAACAGCATCAAGTCCTACTCAAAAAAGCAAAAGGAATAGGTGTTCGCAACACTGATTTTGGTCACAAAAGAATGTTGACTACATAACTACCTTCACCCTATCAAACTCTACCAACATCTAACATGTCACGAAAAAAGACCGTTGTAAAAAATTGAAACAAGACACAGTACTCTTTTGAAAAAAACTAAAAAATCCCATTGGCATCTGAAAACACCATTAGTCATTATAAAAATTATCAGGACAACAAAAATATTTTTACTGTATCTGAAAACTCAGAAACCTCTGATGGCATAAAAAGTGGTGAGATTGGAGGAAAGTTAGGCGGCGAAAATGCAGAGCATGTAGTCGAAGCAGACGGAATTTGTCTTGGAGGCATTTGCATAGGACCACAAATAGGATACCGTTGTATGCCATATTCCAAAGACATCCCACCACCGTCCATTTTTTGCTTCAGTAAACTCCAAGTCCCTAAAAACTAGCTCAATTAGTGATTCCAATTTACAAATTAAATACCAAAAAGTGTTATCATAACCCTCTCTAGTAATTAAACCTGACCATGAATGATTTTAAAAGTAAAATTTTAGAACCAATCTTCGAAACACTACGTAACGCTTTTAACTGTTCAGGGGCAGACAGTAAATCGGAATGTTCTATATATACCCTTGTTTTTACAAATGCCAAATGCCTCTACTTTTTCGCTGTTAGTTGAAACGGCATTTCACGTAATGAAAACTCTTGTCATTCTCGTAAATCGGTTTTAAACTAATGAACAATATAAAAGTGAGAAGCATAATCATTCTTGAAAAGTCAAATTAATTACAAAAAACTAATCTAACCCAGGATTTGGCATTACCGCTGTCTGAAAATGAATAAATAAAACAATTTTTTTCATTTTTTCTCTACAAAAACCTTCCCTTTGAAAATTGCTGTTTGGTCTTAACTAGTACCTTTCTGTACAACAGTTAACTAAAGTGACCTATTCCAACTCACTTCCAAAAAAATCTTAATATCAATGGCAAGGCCTCGGTTGTATTTCGCCAATCACTTAATGCAACTCAAAAATGCCCATTTTTTTTAATTCACAAGTATCCAAAAGAACTAGATAAAAACTTTTAAAAAAGAGGTAATCTGAAAAAAAAAATCTGAGTTTTTTTCTTATACGCAGCAACAGAGTGATGGCGAGTCGGAAGAAAGTTTCAAAAGACTGCTTCCACGGTAGCCTATTATTTCTTCCTTTCCCCCTCCAGAACTACATCAGTATCGGCATTGTGAGACAAACTAGATCAATATAAAAAAACAACTCATAAAGTAATGATTATAAACAGTTCTAGTGATTATCATTAAACAAAAGAATTTCGATCGATAGGATCATCTTACAACTGATTCGGCGATCTGTTTTTAGATCTCTTTGGTGAACGATAGCTATAAAACCATTAATCTTTCCTGTACTTTTTTTCAAAAAAAAAAAAAAAAAAA